CTACAGTACTGTCAATCATTCAACCGGTCCCAGATGTCTGTCAACGAAGCATGCACTGATGTCGGCGTTTGTTTTCCCCTTCCGGTCCATGTGTGTCGTCGCCGTCAAGTGGTTGGCCGTTTTGTTCAAATGTGTTTTGGCCGGTCGTTTTTTCTGTCTCCAGCCTTTTTACTTAGTTTTATGTTGCGTATATTTGAACATATCATGGCTGCCTAACTTTACTTTTGGCCCTAGCGATCGAGCCATGGGTGAAGATTCATTTGTTGGCTACGTCCTGGTCATCATGATAATATAATTTGGTAACTTTGTACAGCATTCCCGTTTTTCTTTATTTTTGTCCATTTCATTGTTTCCTCTATTCGTGCATTGTCACGAGGTTTCTTTAAAAATGACATTAATATATTTTAATATTTTAATATGATTATTCTATCTGATCTCTTGGCATATTTGCTCATTGACTATTGGTAAATTATGATAAAATATCATTTTCGTCCATTCTATCATTAATTTTATTATGTTGAGTGTAATAAAACCTCATGTTGGACCAATCTAGACGTGCTTAGCAGTCTCAAGGCTCGGTATAAAAGGCCTAGATCCATATTGACCGATGTCATGTTCTTAGTTTGAGCATTATTGCAATGATAACCATTTTATTTTATTCAATATTGGAAAGTACGATCCTGTCCCTTGGTCAAATCGAACATAGTCAATACAGCAGTGTCAGAGATTATTTTCTCCCTCATGTCCCTTTTATTTTATTTGTCCTTTAGCTCATTTAATAATTTGTAATAATTTTAACTATGACTTGAAATATGTTATATAAAAGAATTTGTAATTTCATTGTATTTTGAACATTTGTAACTGACATTTATTTTATTGTACTTTGGGCATTATTATTTTAGTTAAACTCAGTATATAAAATAGAACATCATCGCCTATACTACTTGTCTACCAGTTTTTAATTCCTTTTCCCCTAGAGTTAAGGTAAAAACTTAGTAAATTAAAACAACAAATGTGTCAGTTATATTTAAAATTCCACTATGCTCCGGTCTGGTAGAGCCTCGGATAGTGGTGAATCCAACTTCGTTTGGGTTTATGTGCTGCATCGGTGATAACCTCACGGTTAGTTATCGGTGAACGTCACACATGTTTCAAATTAGTATGAGTTTAATGAACATAGATTTTCATAACCTTTATTGATATTAAATTTATAATTATGTTTTAGGAAAAAGAAGAAGAAATGTGCGATGGAAATGATTGGACCATTTTTTAATACAACAGTGTTTACCTAAGAAGGTGTATATGTAAATACATTGTCTGAAATACTAGAGGAATGCAGTTTTATTAGCGGCGAATGTGTTTTTTTTTTTTTTTTAATTTGGTTATGAAAATCTATGTTCATTAAACTCGCACTAATTTGAAACATGTCTTTGGACCAAGACTTGACACATCTATCGACTATTTCGTTGTATGCTAAATTCTTCAGCTCGCTTATGTAATTATTGTCACCTTTAGGAAAAGTATCTTATATTTCTTTGTACATATTCATAATTTGTACAAATTATTCAAATATTTGTCATTCAAACTTCTTATAAAATTAACCATTTCATCATAGTTTGATTGTTGAATTTTAGGGCCCGACCATTTACCGTCGACGTATTGTATGATGTGGTCTATTTATTGGCATAACAGTAAACGTGTTTTTATTTTTCTTGATATTGCATTGATAATAGTGCACTGTAAGTCCATAAGTCTATTAATGTTTTCGTTATTCAATAACACTCGACATCCATCGACCATCCTGGATTCTAATGATAAATGCATGGTATCACGGTACAAAACTTTGGTTATAATAAAATCGACATTTTGGTATAACACAGCGTTTCCTCCTTTTACCGGAGGTGATTGTAGAAATAATGTTATTTTATCCATCATGCCGTAAATAATATTTAAATAGTCTGCTGACATACTAATATATCGTGGAGGAGAAATAATGCATACCGTAACATTCAAGTCATCCTTTGGATTCAGGCCCACTTGCAAAAATTTTCTGTTACTGAACGCAATAGTGTAACTGCTAGAGTCAATCATCTCGGCTGGCGGTGTTAGTGCGATATAAATGTATCGCTGTTTTCTTACAGGTTCGGCAGCCATATTGTTCATAGAGTAGAGTCTTCTTCATAGAGCTGATGGTTCTTGATAACAATGTGACTTTATCAACGATTTCACGCTCATTTATGCGGAAAAATCGCATATTTTCATAGGGGGTCAGTAAATTACAGGATAAATATCACTGTATACTAACTCTTTCCTTCAACACTTAAATAATTTCACTTTAATATCATAATACTTAATTTTAAACTCACGATTTTTAA